AGACCTTAAATAAGAAAGCAGAGAAGATTACAAACCCTAACTTCAAGATTTAAAGTAGACATGAACATAAATAACTAAACCCTACCTATTTTTGAAAGAAAATCATGAAATTTTTAGAAAAGAAACAAGGGTTAATGGTGGGGAAGAAGGAACAATTGTTTATTTAAGTTGGGGAAGATGACCGTTGGAGAAGTACAATCTTCTTACGCGCCTAGAGGAGGTGTTCACACCTCCTATGATAGATCAGCACTCAAGTGTGTAGTAAATAGAGAATAAAATGTTCAGGAGTGATAGGACACTCGTGAAATTGGAGTGTGTAGTTGGAATTTCGGGTATAGGTTGGGGGGGAGGGGCTTTAGACCATTTTCTCTATTAAAAATAATAAAATAATATATTTTTTCAAATTATAATATAATTTTAGAAAAATTATTCAATTGTAGACTCAAATCCAATTATCTTAGAAAAAATGGTGCTAGCTAATGAATGCACAACATAAAATAAAACACATGTTATAAAAAAATTGACTTTAGATTAATAAGAAAGCACAAACCAATTGGTGATCCCCTAAAGTTGGCATCAAATTTCACTTAGACACCTTAAATGGACGATATTTATTTTAGACACCTCATGTAGGCTTCTGCTGTGTCATTTGACACTTTTTGCTGACATGTCAAAGTCAGTGTGATACACTCAACAAAATCCCGTGAAAGACTTTATTTGGCCTTTTTATTTTATTTTCTCTTCTTCTTCATTTCTCAAGCCATCACCTCCCACAATTTTTTCAAGCTTAACTCCTTCAATGGAAGTCAAATTGTTTATTCAAATTCATTGTCAAGCCATTTTTTTTCATTGTATTGCTTTTCTAAATCTACCATCACCTCCCTCTACTTTTTTTTGCCGAAAAAAATGGACACCAACACCCAAATTTCATATTTCTTCTCTCTTTCTTTCTTCCTCTCCCTCTTTTCTTATCATAAAACAACACTAAAAAGAAAGAAAAATAATAAATATGAAAAATAAAAGAAAAGAATAAAGTTTTTAAAAAAGCACAAAAGAGATTTGTGTGTGTAATGAAAAAAGATGATGTTCGATCAAGTTACCATCACCGCTCTTCATCTTTTTTGCCGGAAATAATAAATATCAACACTCCTATTTATTTTTTCTTTCTTTTTCTCCTTCCCTCTTCCGGTCCTCCCTTCTCTTTTTCTCTCAAAACAAAATCAAAATAGAAAGATAAAAAAAAGTTGAAACAATTTTAAAAAGTAGATTAATAAAATAAAGAAAATTATTGGGTGTAGTGGAGAAGACAACTACCATCAGGGTGTGGGGGAGGGGGTTAAATTGATTTTTTTTTAGAATAACATTTTTATTTTATTTACTGAATAGTTTTTAAAATAATTTTAAACTTAAAATAACACGTGTAATCATTTAATTGATTGTTTGTCATGTCATCAACGAGTGTATTACATTCTCCTTCAGTTTATTGCTTATTATTAAAAACAATGTCAAAATGACACATCGGAACCCTACATGAGGTGTCTAAAATGAACATCGCCCAGTTAAGGTATCTAAATGATACGTGGTGCCAAATGATTAAGTTTCATTGCCCTTATTATTTGTTCTTTCAAAATCTTTTCTCATTCTTCACTGATTTATATAATGTCTCCAACAATATGCCTTTGTCTCATTAATCTATTTATCTTTTCTTTGCTTCAATCAAATACATCGGTGTCAAGTATTTTTATTTTCTTCTCTTTATCAAGAACCACTCTATTTTTCTTGTTTTATGTTTATTCTTTATCCAGATTATTTTGTTTTGTCCTCTTTATCCCGAGTCACTCTGTTTTTCATGTTAGTATTTGTGTTATTTTGGTAATTTTGTTTTCTTCTCTTTATCAAGAGTCAGATTGTTTTTCCTATTTTTTGTTTATTTCTTTATCCAAGTTATTTTGATTTGTTCCCTTTATCATGAGTCACTCTATTTTTCATGTTAATATTTTTATTATCTTTTGGTTGGTTTATTTCTTACTAATTGAGGTAGTGGAGGTTTCATGTGGATGGATATATCACTAAAGGTTTCTCGATATTGTTTTTTCCTGAAACAATCAAGGTCCCCTAAAGATCTCCAATAGTACTTAAATTTTCAATAATAATAGTATAGTGATATTTGTATTCCCTGCTGACTCTATCTATGACTTGATTTTAACAAGTTTGATTCATCAAAATTGTTCGTCCCTCGAACAACTTCATAGTAAGAGACCCCTTTATGAAATTGACCAATCAAATTTTGTATAGGAAGTCGCCTGCTTCTCTTTCAGTATTTCAGAAATCAAACCATGAAATAGTTGTGATTACTAATGCTACTACAACTGATGCAAGAACAAAAGTTAAAGCCCATATTTTGTTTCTTTTTCTTATGCTACAACATCTCGATTATATTTAGTATACTTCAGCTTCACTTCAAAGTTTCATATAAAATTGGATGGAGATGAGCTTAAATGGAGTCAAACAAGTTGGCTTTATCAAAATTGTTTGTGCACCCACCCATCTCAGTACTCAATTTGAAGGTCAACTTATTGGAAGGTGAACTCTCAGCTCTTACTTTCTCCAATCTCAATTGACTTGGTATAATCGACCTCTTGAGAATAAATTCTTCACTGAAAGCATTCCACAAAGCCTTTTTTATGCAGGCCATTAACTACAATCTGTCAGGCTTCTAACCATCTAAAAAGAAATATCTTGTCTAGACTAATGTCTTTACAAGCTCTGTCCGTCCTTTTAGTCTCCAATAACAGCCTAACCAATTTTTTAGGGACAATAAAAGTCCTTAAGGGTTGTAAGAAATTGTCACACTAATCCTCATCAAAAAAATTTATAATGAAACTTTGTCTGATAATAAAAACTTGATTTGGTCTAAATATTTTTAAAAAATCTCCAAATTTTAAGTCTGGGTGATTGTAATTCGCCGGACAGATTACCACATGGCTGATTAAACTTGGGAGGTAGATGTTCTAGACCTTTCTATGAATCAAATCACAAGCAAAATTTCAGGTTTGTTAGGGACTTTATAAAATTTATTTTAATAGGATATGTCTCATAATTTTATTTATAGAGGCTTTCCGGTCGAACTTACTTAACTGCGAAGACTTCCATCATAAGAGTCTATTGATCAGGTAGACATAAGTGCTTTAAAATTGCATGTGTTGGTTTAATGGCTGGTTAAACATGGGAAGGTAGATGTTCTAGACCTTTCTATGAATCAAATCACAAGCAAAAATTCAGGTTTGTTAGGGACTTTATAAAATTTATTTTAATAGGATTTGTCTCATAATTTTATTTATGGAGTCTTTCCGATCGAACTTACTTAACTGCGAAGACTTACATCATAAGAGTCTATTGATCAGGTAGACATAGTGCTTAAAAATTGCATGTGTTTGTTCAGTCAAATAATTCAACAGAAACGCTATCAGATTTATGAAAGAACTAATGAAAACTAAATTTTGAGTAGCTGTAGGATTATGAAGAATATCTTTAGAGCTTGGACCTAAGGTTGGTAATTTAGAGTCATTACCTAGAGTTAATTCCTCGATACTTTGATATTCATAGTGAATGCCAAAGTTATCTAGATCAGATGTTAACTGATGCGTGGTGCCACTATCTATCAACCTAATTTGAGTAGGTGAATGCTGGGTATTTTCTAGGTTGTCAGAAACTCGAGTGCTAGTAGATTTCTTGGGTGATGGGTAAACTCGTGCGATATAACCTTTACCTTCACACTTGTGATAATTATTGACATGCCAGAGGTTGAAGATAAAATGTAAATGGAACTTTGAGTATAGTGTGCTATGAGAGCTATGACATTAAGAGTCTCATCTCTTTAAAGACCTCTCTTCATTCAATAATAACCTATATAAAGCATCAAATCATATATCCTCTTGACACGATTCAAGTGATCTTGTAAAGACATGATAGGCTGGTCCCAATCTAGCAAGAACAAATTCAAATAAATCATCATTAGTAAACGGATGTTGCAATGTAGTCAACTTGTCCACAATTCCTTTTACCTTTTGCACTTAGGACTCAATACTAGTTTGTCTCTCTGCAATGTGTGTAGTGTTGTTTTCAACTCATGAATTTGAGGCTTCGAACCTGAAGCATAAGCAACAACTAGTTTGTTCCAAGCTATTTGAGCCGTCTCAAACCAGCTAGTTGGCGTAATATTCTTTCGAATATGGAAGCAATGATCCAACTTAGCACAAGTTGATCAACTCTTACCCAAATATGATAGTTTGAATTAGGTTGATATTAGACAGAAACTGCCCTGGAATCACCTGACTACCATCAATATAATGACCAAGTCCCTAACCTTGAACCATCGAAAGGAACTAAGTTTGCCACAATAAAAAAATTCGTAAGTTTAAGTGGTAACTAATGCGCAAGACTAGGGGACGGTAGAGTGGTGAGCATGGAGGTTTGTGTTCCAACGGTTATTTCCTGCAGGGAGGAACTTGGTGAGATGTTATCATCCACCATTGAAGTTGCTGCATAACTTCTATTTTCTTTCTGGTCGTGCGATTTAAAATAGGATTGTTTTAACCTCTTAAGACTCTGATATCATGAAATACTTTCTCTTTATGTGTATTATAAATATACTGCATAGTCATAGACCAAGCCATATACAGTTAATAACAATCCTACGCAAACTAAGCCACAAATAAACAAAATCTATTCGTATTACATAAGTAAGTGTTATCCTTGTTCAATTAGTATAGATATTTTTTAAGCTTCAATAAGATTTTAGTAGGATAAACATAGTCCCCCTTACATGTACTTTTTTCTTTTGAGTTGGATTTGGTTTTAAAAAAAAATTATAATCTCTTACATTTGTCCAACTCTAATGGGCAGGCATGGAAACTTTATAAATAGTTTCGTCTCACTCACCCTCTCTTTCTATTTAAAAAATTGCAAACACATCCACACTTTCACTGTGCGTGGTCAGTAAAACACATGACTAAAGCTAAACACAAAACCAAAAAAGAAGAGAAAGCAAAAGCGTCTGCACCTCCGTAGTCCTTTCCCCCTATATTTATGCAAATTGCAATGCCCCCTTCTAGAACGGCTATATTTACATTTTCATCTACTGCCATTAGGATTAACATTTTTGGCTTAGTAGCAAGCAATATATATGCTGCCATTTTTTTGAGCTTTAAGTTTAATTTCTTCTTTCACATTCTTTAAAAATGAGATTCCCAGTTGAAGAGATGGAGATCATTTTCAGATCGGGCTAAGCTACTACTAGTGGTATTATTTTGTTGCTTTCAATTTTTGAGTTCGTTTTCTTTCCTGCCACTAATTTGTTGATTTGTGTTCTACTATTTGTGTAGAATTCAATTAATTTTTGTGATTCTCTCTTCTGCACTAGTTCCTTTTGCTACTGACCTTAGAAAAATACAATGTAAGGTGAGAAGAAGGGAAATATGTATGTACCATTCTATATTATGGGGTTGAGAGTGGCAAAATTAGCTCATAAAATCATGATCCATCCACCCGTTTAGTTTTGGATGGGTTAATGACCTATTTATTTTATTAACTCACTTCATTTTGACTTGCTTAATTCAGCCCATTTAAAAATTTGAGTTCATATGTAGCCTAGATTGACCTATGGGAAACTTTGTGTAAACATTTTCAAAAACAACTTTTTATTTGAGTGTTATATATTGTCATTATAAGAAACAAGTTTTGTTAGGTACGCAACAAGTTATAAGAAAACAAACTAAAAAATTTAAAATTTAGTAAAAACTGGACGGATTAGGTTATGACCTTTTTTTTTTTTTAACCGTGGTTTTCGGGCATCGCTTTGCGAACCCGACTAGCTGTACCCACCGGGTCCCGCTGTTTCAAGGCGGGTCCACCACGGTTAGTTCCACGGGGCCCTGGAGACGCGGCTGGTTTGTAATGCCTCCAGTGGCCCTGCTGGGGCTCGAACCGGCGACCTGAAGGACTTTGTCCCAGGCCTTTACCAGCTGAGCTACCCCTCAGGGTTGATTAGGTTATGACCTGATCTTTTGCTCAACCTGTTTCACCCCAAGTAACTTCTGGGTGGGTCAGTTACTCAGTTATTTATTAACTCAGCCATTTTGACATCTGCTCAACTTGCCCATTTGACACTCCTAGTAGCGGTGTCCATTTTCTCTTAGTATTTGATTGTTAAATCACAAATGATTATAGCCATTTTCCTGCAGCTTCTTGAGTATTATCCCATTCTGTAGCGACTGGGGCTGTCGAAACTTTGTGAAATAATTAGGTGACTCAGGGTGATATGTTGGATGTATGTGATTCAATGGTTATTTTAACATTTCAACACGTACCTTCATGTGCAGTTCTAGTTTTCCTTGGTTGAGCACATGGAACTATTTTGTTGATGAGCGAAGATGATAATTGATTCTATGAACTGCCTACTTTGAAGGCATGTTGAATGATGTGAACCATCTCATTTAAAAGTTTTAATGATACAACATTTTGTTTATTTATTTGGGTCTGCAGCAGTTCATGTCCCCATTCTTGCTTTCTCTTTTGGTTGTTAAATTACATTATCACGTGGTGCAACTAAGAACTTAATTAATAATCTGAAATATGAAGATATTCCTAAATATATGTTATACATTTGTGTGTACATAAAGGATGAAAATGAACTTTTTTTTCCCGTAAAAGTACTCTTTTCTTATGTTGCCGTATTCAATGTGCTGGTTTTGTCAGTTACTGCTTAACAAGATACAACTTTTTGAAATGATGGCATGCTTCTAAGTAGAAACAATCCTAGTGGATTTTATTCACGTTTGTTAGTCATGTATGAATCAACTCTTATTGATATTTGCAGTTCTACGGAGCTTCTCATAGTGAGATACTTGTGATGATAAATAGCAATCAGAGATGAAAAGGACACCTGAATCAGGAAAACCACTAGCCGAGAACCGTATTGAGGCTGAGGTGACAAATATTCACCCAACCTTTAAAAAAGAGGTGGGAACTATATCCGATGTCCATGACTTTCTTGAGATGGACTTCACTGTTCCTCTTCAAACATGGAAAGGAAACCACTCATATCAGGAGCAAGAGGAACTTATGCCTAATGCTGGTACAATCAAGCGATGTGATGACTCACTTGAAGATAGTGGCTTTATGACATTCTATGGAGCAAGTCATCCTCCAGAACCTGTTGATACCGACCTAATGAAACCAGTCTATGTACCAATTGGTCCTAATAAAGTAGACGGTAAATGCCTATTGAAAAACATGTCTCTGAAGGGTTCTTCCCTGGATGATATTTCAATTGAGGTTCTTAACATGAAACCTAGTTCATTTCTTCTTTCACCTGCAGAGAGATGGGCTGAAAATCCAAATGATCTTGGTGTAGTATCCTCTCCATTTATGGTTCCTCGTCCATCTCAAAATATGTTAGCAAGGCTACCCCCTGATTCTGAAGAAAAAGAATGTCTTTGGGATGCATCATTATCACCAAGCAGCAATGTCAGTCCATATAGTAGCATTGATAGTGCTGGTATTGGCACAGCTATGAGCATTCCTAACAGCTGCACAAGAACATATAGGAGTGATCGGTTGCTGAGTGAAAGCTTGCTTATTATGGATGGAAACTGTGAGGGCACTAAACTGATTATTCAAGGGGATTCACTAGAAAGTGCTAAAACTAGCTTTAGCAGGGAAAGTGATAGCAGTGAACTTAGTGATGATAGTAACTGGAGTAACATTACCGGCAGTGCCAATAAGCCGCACAAAGGGAATGATCCCAGATGCAAGGCTATTCTTGCAATACGGGCACGTGATGGTATATTAGGCATGAGTCACTTTAGGTTAGTGAAAAGACTTGGCTGTGGTGACATTGGCACTGTTTATCTTTCAGAGCTAAATGGGACTTGCTGCGATTTTGCAATGAAAGTGATGGATAAGGCATCGCTTGCAAGTAGGAAAAAATTAACCCGTTCTCGGACAGAAAAAGAAATCCTTCAGCTGTTAGATCACCCATTCTTACCAACCTTGTATACTCATTTTGAAACTGACAGATTTTCATGTTTAGTCATGGAATATTGCCCAGGAGGAGATCTACATACTCTACGACAAAGACAGCCTGGGAAGCATTTTTCAGAGTACTCTGCAAGGTACAGTTCTTGTTCCATTCTTCTCTCTTATATGCAACAAAAGATAAAACCTCCTCTAAGCTTGTTTTTGATAAGCTCTTACACCTAAGTTCCAAACATAAGTGTAATCCTCCACTAGTTTGACATTCCTTGTATGGTATAAAGCCCATCTCTCTTGAAACAGAACTTGGTAATTTGTTAGGTATCTGCAATGGAAATAGTTATTCATCTTACTGGCTCATTGATTCACTCTTATCTATTGAAACTCCATAAGCTGGCAATACGCGTGCTTTACTGGGAAAGGACTGTTTTGACAGTTTGTTTCTCTAATTGCTTTGCGTGCTAGTACCGGTAGAGGAAGTTGATTGTTTCTTAATGATTATTACCCAATTTCTGTTTAGTGGCAAATGGTAAATGCTCATAATGTGTTAAGATCCTCAAGCTATGTATCATTTTGAGAAAATAGAGATTTTCTGAATATTTCATGATTTTAAGGCTCCTGCTTGTTCACAGCTCATGATGTCTTGTTCTCATAATAAGTACTTTTCTTTGTGTCTTCTGGTTCTTAGTTTTCATCCAAATATTATTCTTGGTTAGACATCCATATTTTTAATGAACAATTCAGAGATATTACCAAATATGAGAAAATTGTTCAGAAGTTTGCTAATTTCGTAGTGGTGCTTGACCAGTTGATATGTCTGATACTCAGACACTGTTGTGGCTTGGTTTCTATTTATGCCATGAAAATTGAGGCCTTAGTAAATAGTATATGCTGAGAGGGAATGCCTCATTTGGTTCAACTTTTCTCCTTGCTGGCAAAGAAAATATATCATTAAGTTAGATGTTTTATTATATTAGGATTTTTATAGTGAAGAAGTTCTTGATCCGTCTTTGCAATTTTTTGATCCTGTTCTTATTCATTTTTTTTTTGTTTTTCCTTAATAATTGTGGAGTCTGGGCCAGCTTGCAAGCACCTCGGCTAATTCCACGAGCTACCCGCTACCTTTCACTAATTCAAATATGGGTGATACAGAATACAAAGGCTTGGACTGATGTGAAGAAATCATCTTTTGTTTTTGATCTTATTATTTTTCATTTTCCTTTTTTCCTGTCACCAATTATTGACCAGAGAAGATGGATAATTATAACAACATATTATATGGGTAGGATCTGAAACTGGAACAATACCAAGAAAATTATAATGGATCCTATGCAAGAATGACACGTGTAAATCATTACATGATCTACATTTTATGAACTAGTTGGGATTGTTGGTGCACCTACATTTTTCTGATGTTTGCCTGGAGCATTTTGGTTTGTTCAGTATTTTTACATTAGGGTCAAAATTTAGAGAACCTCTTCAATTACAGAACTCCTAATTTGTCTTAAAAGACAAAATTCGTGAGTATTGGAAAGGTATGGGTCCAAATGGAGTGAAACAAATGTTGAGGAATTGTGTAGTCGACCTTAACTAGTTCTGTATAGATACATAGCTACTGTTGTATGGGCAGGATGTAAAGCTCAATCCAGGAATATGATTAGACGTTATATGCTAGCTGTGTTTTCCTTTTCTTTTGGTTTTAGTTGGGGCTTTGGAGAATCTTGGCCCTTTTGGTTTATCTTGAGCTGTGGAGTTCCTTAGTCAGAGTTTAATTAACCTGTTTATGCAACAGGTTTTATGCTGCAGAAGTTTTATTGGCTCTCGAATATCTTCACATGCTAGGTGTACTTTACCGAGACTTAAAGCCTGAAAATGTTCTAGTGCGTGATGATGGCCACATCATGCTTTCGGATTTTGATCTATCCCTGAAATGTTCAGTTTCACCTATGGTCATAAGGACATCATCTAATGATCCCTCTAAACGAGGAGCTGCATTATGTGTGCAGCCAGCCTGTATTGCTCCCACATCTACATGCATTCAGCCAACATGCTTCCTCCCCCGAATATTTTCTCAAAAGAGCAAAAAGATATCACAAAAGCCTCGAACTGAGCCTGGTTTTCCTGCTAATGCTATGCCTGAGCTAGTTGCAGAACCTACTGCAGCACGGTCAATGTCATTTGTTGGGACTCATGAATACTTAGCCCCTGAAATTATCAAGGGAGAAGGCCATGGCAATGCAGTTGATTGGTGGACATTTGGCATATTTCTGTATGAATTACTATATGGTAAAACCCCATTCAAGGGATCAGGAAACAGGGCAACTATTTTCAATGTAGTGGGACAACAGCTCAAGTTTCCAGATTCTCCTGCAACGAGTAATGCCAGCCGCAATCTCATTCAAGGATTGCTCATTAAAGAGCCTCAACACCGTCTCGGGGTGAAAAGAGGAGCAAGTGAGTTAAAGCAACACCCTTTCTTTGAAGGTGTTAATTGGGCACTGATTCGTTCCAGTACCCCACCTGAAGTGCCAAGACAGGTTAAAGTAGAGCTTCCACGCAAGTTTAAGCAAGTGAACCCTGTTGAAGTTTGCAGTAAAAGAAATGCAGGAACAAATGTGAACTCTGGGGGTAATAATTATCTTGACATTGAGTTCTTTTAGTCTAGGAATATATAATTATATAGGATTCTTGTCTACAATTTTATCAGCTTCCTTTAAGCAAACTCCATCCTAATAGTACTATAATATTCCCTTACCTTAATAGGACTACAATTTCTGTAGTTATTATATTTTACTATAAATACATAATTACCATAGTTATATTATCCCCTCAAGTTGGAGCATGAGAATCCCGAACACCCAACTTCTGAAATAAGTGTTCATACTGTGACTTGCCCAACACCTTCGTAAAAATATCAGCTAACTGGTTATGCATTGGAAAGTAGATCAGAGATACTACCAAATTGCAACTCAAACCCAACATAATTAAAATCCACTTCAATGTGTTCGGTTCGTTCATGAAAAGTCAAATTTTACGCAATATATAATTCCACTTAGCTGTCAGAATACATCCTAACTAGACGGTGCTACACGCCTAAACTAGTCAAAATACCCTTTAAGCATTTCATTTCCACATGGTCATCGCCGTCGCTGATATTCCACCTCTGCTGAAGAGCAGGACGCAATGAGTTGGTTTTTAGTATTCCAAGACACGAGTGTATTTTCAAGTGTAATGAACTACCTGATGAGAGATCTTCATGTTAGTAGGCATCGTGCCCGGTTTGAGTCGCATCATGCCTAGTTTGAGTCACATCATCCACAACTTCAACTCCTTTTCTCATTCTCCTTGCCAAGCTTTCTACGTGTGACATGAAGAAAATTATGATAATGTAACTGTCCTCCTAGTCGTGTTGTGAACTTTACCATTTTTAAACCTCTTCGATTGATAACTTGCGTGGATAGATGACACAATTTTTGAGGTGATCAAATGAGTTTAAGAGAAGATACTTAATTTTGTGAGTATAAGTGAGATATGCATAGCGATTCTTTATATCATGGCACCTTAGTTTTTTTTTAGACATGTTCAAGGATAAACGTTATTTTAACTGAGGGAGAATGTAATATTTCTATTTTTTAATGAAGAATTAGTTTGTGCTTAACCAAGATGTGCAGAATGAAAAAAAGAACAGAATGCAGATAAAGAAAAGAAAAGAAAGAGAGGAAAAGAGAAGAGAAAAATAAGAGTATTCATACACTATGAAGATAATGATTCTCACCTTTTCAATGAAATTTTTATGTAATTATGGGTAGATTTTTAGGATAGAAACATGAAGAAATTATGCTAAGTTAACAAAATATAGTCTTAGGGTTCTTAGAATAAAATCTTGATTTGGGGGGTCGAATATCGACCCATTTTAGCTGAAATTCGACATGCAAGTTTGTTATAAGGCTCATCCATATACCTTCTTGTAGCTATTTTTGCTTCAATTTAGCTCGAATTAGTTGGCTTTGCATTCCAGTCCATCCTATGAGTCTTTTCTTATTGTTTCGAGCCCAAAATGAAATTAATCATGTCTAATAGCTCATCACAACATATCATCAATAAACACAAGGATATTAATAAGATTATACTCAGAAAGTAGCTAAAATATTGTGTTTGAATCCGTAAATAAACCTAGATCAATATTCTATCCATCCGGATGCAACAAAGAGAATCGTAATTTGAGTTAGCACTACTGGTGGTGTAGAAGGAAGCTGTATATTGCAGAGTTTGTATCTATGTGCTTGAACTATCAACAGGTGGAGTATGAGGACCAGAGGCCAGGTGGTTTGACTTAGAAGTTATCCATTCCTGAGTAGAAATGAGAGCAAATAACAATGGACTTTAAGGTAGGCATTCCAAGTACTTTTTGAAGATTTGATATTGTTTGACTCATCATTGATAGATTGACAAAATCTTCTCACTTCATGCCAATTTAGACTACGTAAAGTTCAGAGAGATTGACTCAGATATACATTCGAGAGATTATCCATTTGGATGGGGTGTTGGTTCCCATCATTTCAGATAATGGTACTCAATTCACATCACATTTAAGTAGATTGATTTAAAAGAGTTGGGTACTTGAGTTGAGATTAGCATAAATTTTTGTCCGCATACTAATAGTCGGTCTGAGAGGACTATTTAGATTTTTGAGGGCATGCTTTAGGCATGTGTGATTGATTTCAGAGGTCAGTGGGACCGGTTTTTGGCTTTGGCAGAGTTTGCGTATAATGATTGCAACTATTCAATAATTTAGATGGCACCATTTGAAGCATTCTATGGTAGGAGGTATTAGTCTCTGATGGGTGAGTTTGATGATTTTGAGGTTCGACCTTGAGGCACCGACTTGCTATGTGATTTCATGGATAGAGTCATGGTAGAGTTTGGGTGATCTAGAAGAGCTTGGTACTACCCATAATAGGCATAAGAGTTGCGCCGATAGGCCAGTGTGTGCCTTAAAATTTATGGTTTGAGATCAAGTATTCATGCAGGTGTTTCCCATGAAGGGCATGATGAGGTTAGGGAGGAAAGGCAAGCTTAGACCTAGATTTATCAGACCTTTCGAGATTTTACGATGTATTGGAGAGGTGGTTTATGAGTTAGCCTTACCTTCAACTCTTTCGGATGTTCACCTTGTTTTCCATGATTTCATATTGAAACTGTATGAATTGAATGAGTCTCACTTGTTTCGATGGAATTCAGTTCATCTTGATAAGCCATATGCTTTTGAAGATGAGCCTTTGGCTATTCTAGACAAGAAGGTTAGGAAGTTGAAGTTATATTCCTTCGGTTAAGGTTCAATGGAGGCATCTTCCGATCGAGGAGGCTACTTGAGAGGCCGAGCTTGACATGCAGACTAAATGTCCTCACTTATTTAGCCTTCAGGTACTTCATTTTCTTTAGCTTTCGAGGACGAAAGTTCTTTTAGTTGTGGATTTTTTAATGACCCTCATGGTCATTTACTTGCTTTTGCATGTTTTTACTATTTTTTCCTTCCCATAACTTTTGTGATATATTTGTAGTTTTTTGGGATGGGTGGCTTGGTTCCCAAGGTGTTCGGGAGAGTTTTGGTTGAGTTTTCCCTAGTTTGGAGATGTTGTTTTGAAAGGGTTGACTTCAATCAATATTATCGGTAAATGGGCTTGGACGAGATTTCTTCATTGCCGTTGGCTCCAAAATATTTATTTTGGTCTAGTAGGACCTTTGGTTTGGGTCTTGAGGTCTGTAATTTGATTTTGCAGTGCTTGTTTTTTTGTTATTTTAGTTAAAGTGTTAGCTTTGGTCAATATTTCATCAAAAATAACTTAGGATGGTTGTTTCGTCAATTTTGTTGAGTTCAAAATATCGTTTGTAGTTGGGTCGCATGACAATTTGTGTTCCAGGACTCAAAATTAATCCTAAGGGTTTGTTCAAGGATTTCGTAAATTAGTTGAAGCTGTTCATGTAGATGGTCTTGTGGATCCACTCCAACGGAGATCTAGATTCACCAGTGAAAGCTGATGATGTCAGTGGCCGCTGCTGCTTCGGAGCTTAGGTGCTCAAGCGGGGGTGCACCTGCAGGATCGTGGCCGCTCTTGTAGATGGATGAAGTTAATGGCCCCCACTCCTGCGGGGACTTCTTCTCACCCGCGCCATTGCACCTGCGACGAATGTCCACCAAATAACAATTGCAAAGTGTTTTAAAGCTTCTTTATCTTTCATTTTCTAAGTCTTAGAAGACTTATTTCCTCCATTGTTGAAGCTCGGCTAGAGAGTATTTTCACCATTTCTTGATCATTTAAGTTTATTTTGAGGTAAAACTTCTCCCCATCTCATTTATTATTCGTCTAAGCTTTAAATTCACGTTTCATCTTTGAATTGGACCTTTCATTTCATGATTCTTTCATTCTTTAAATTGAGATTTTTGGACTATTTAAGGTTCAAAATTACTCTTGTCTTTGCTCAATTTTAAAGCATGGAATACTTAACCCGATGGGAGCATGATTGCGGATTAATCTGTTTCATCGATGGGTCTAAGGGTCAACTTTTGACATCTAAACTTCATTTTATCAATATGAGTATCGTTAGCCCCATATTGACTTGTAAAATGTGTTTTTGATAGAGTGACAATGATCCAAGGCTCTTCAAAATAAAAAATCTTCTGAGTGATGGTTCGTGTTTGGAGTTCGACTTTGAGATAGGTTACAACTTACCCTTTTTAGACTTATCTTGGTTATATTCTTTATTTTATAAATTCCATGATCATTAGGGTTGATTATAGGGTAAGATTAGGCTTCAATGATTCTTATATATGAATTGAACATTTTCGGGACTTTAGAATTGTGCTTTTCCCTTATGCCTTGATGAGTCGGGGATTTCAACTCATTTAGGGCTAAATATAAAGAGTTTTAGTGTCCTCAATGCCTATTTTATGCTGTAAACTGATGTTAAAGTGCTAATTTGCAGCTATGAAGGCAAAAGAGCAAGGCAAGGACATTACCGGGGGAAAATGAGCGGAAAAGCTAAAAAAGTAGAAGACAAGCAAGGCTGATGATCGCCAAGCCGAGTGTCAGCTCGCCAAAAGTTACAACAAGCCAGCCCAGGGACAAATTCAACTCGGCGATAGAAAGGACAATTTGGCAATTCACTGACTTGATCGGAGATGGAGACTTAGCTCGCCCAAAGTTACAAAATGATTAGTGAAAAGGCAAACTAAAAGGGCGATATGAAGGAAGACTTGGCGCATCGCCGAACAGGTCGGCGAGCCCGACCTGGATCACTTAAAGTCACAACAAAGGAGTGATGAAAAGTCAAGCCAAGAAGGCGATGGAAAGAGACATTTGGCGCATTGCCAACCTGGTCGACGATGCTCGACTTATTCCGCCAAATAGTCCTAAAGCTAAATATTTGGGAAAGTATAAATGCGATTTGTAAAATATGTAACAGAGTTTGGAGATCTCCCTTCCAATCTAATTCTGGGTTTTTGATCTAAGACACTCTAAACATTGTTTTTAGTCTTTGGAGTAGGAATTTAGAGTTGGGTTTTGATTTTGAACTGATTTTGAGCATTGTGAAGACCTGCAATTTGTTACCCAAACTGATGGAGAATATAATTGCTAACATTTTCTTGCCTTTTATAATGTTTGACTAAAACCCCCATTCTTGGGGGTGTGATTATGTGATTAAATGTTTCAATTAGCTTATGGGTGTTAATATTTACTGATTTAATTGTTGATTTGAAT